GGAAAAGAAAATGTTCCATACTAATGGATTCGAGTCCATAACCATGGGTTCCAGTGCACGAGATCTTGTAGCACTTACCAATGAGGCCTTATCAATTAGTATTACACAGAAGAAATCAATTATAGACACTAATACAATTAGATCTGCTCTTCATAGACAAACTTGGGATTTGCGATCCCAGGTAAGATCGGTTCAGGAGAGTGGGTTAAGAATATTTACCACTTACCAGCATCATCTTTTTCCTTACTTCTCTTTCATTTTCTCTAAGTCTTTTCTATATTTTTTCTCCCTTTTAACTTTGTTTGTTCAGATCTATTTTAGCAGTACAAAAGAAGACCACCGTGAAACTTTTGCTCCACCACCACCACTGCACCTTCTTACACCGTCAAAGTCGCACCTCCTTGCATCGTCACCGCCGCAGCTCCTTACACGCCACCGCCGCAGCTCCTTACATCATCCCACCACCGCATCTCTTTCACACCACCACTGAGCTCTTTCACACCACCACCGCCGCAGCTCCTTTTACGCCACCACCGCCGCAGCTCTATTTACGCCACCGCCACCCCAACTCCTTCTACAACTACTTCCATTTATGCACTCCACACCTATGATAATAGATCAGTTATATTTTTTTTGTTTTAATTCATTTTGTATAGAATTTTATGGCTAATTATTATTCAGGGGAATATTTGATGATTATAATTTGTTTTAATTTTTGTTTTACAATTTTTTTTTTTATTCAAATATATTCAGTTGTCGGAAAATAATCGGAACTGAAACCTCATACATTTATCGGTAAGTTCTGATCTTTTTCCGTTAAGTATTTCCGACAACAATTTCTATCGGAACTTAACGAGAAATTTCCAAGAGATGAGTTTTCCGAGATCCAAACCTCGACGAAATTTTAATCCTCGAGAAATGATCGGTTACGCATATTCCCGACAAACTTCCGTTTAATATGGCCCTCGGGTACCACTTTGTTTTCTTGTAGTGAAACTAGTGAAAGTTTTCTGCATTTCCATTGCTTGAAGTATGCTGCATTCAAAAGTTTGTCACTTCTCTGGTGTCCTTCAATTGATTTCCTGCGCGTTTCTATTTTCTGCATTTCTACATGCATTCTGGTCTTTCAACATTGATTTTGAATGACATTAGTAAAATGTTTAGAGGTGTTAAGATTAGGATGGGAATGGGTGAGATTAGTGTGATGGATGATGAAATTTAGACAAGTATCATGGTCGATGAAAGAGAGAGAGAGTAGAGAGAGACCGAAAATACTTCCTTAATGAATAACTTAGTGTCTATATATATAAGAGTAATTCTTGGGTTCACCCCCTAGGGTGAGCCTAGAGGTTCACCAACAAATATAATTTCATTGTTTTATATTCAGTATCTTTTAAAAAAGAAAACAAAATATTATTGAGTTATATTATGTTTTAAAAAAATAATAATAATAGTAGTTGCAAAAAAAAACTTAAAAAAAAATATTTTTATTAGCACCAGCAAAACACTAAACCCTAAACCCTTGGGTAAACTCTAAACCCCTGGATAGATCTTTGATTTTGTAAAAAATATTTTTGTTACCGACAGCAAAACATTAAACCCTAAACCTAAATCCTAAATCCGAAACCCTAAACCCTTAGGTAAACTCTAAACCCTTGAGTTAATCATAAATCCTAAGATTTATGATTAATCCAAGAGATTTATGATTAATCCAAGGGTTGAGGATTTACCCAATGGTTTAGGGTTTAGGATTTAGGGTTAGGGTTTAGTGTTTGTTGGTGTTAATAAAAATATTTTTTTAAAGGTTTTTTATTTGTAACTACTATTAGTTTTTATTTGTTTTTATCTTTTAATTTAAAAACATAATATAACTCGAGAATATTTTGTTTCCTTTTTTAAAAGATACTGAATATAAAACAATGAAATTCTATTGGTCGGTGAACCTCTAGGTTCATCCTAGGGGGTGAACCCAAAAATTTCTCTATATATAAAGGAGCAGCTTCGTTTCAACGGGCGCGCCACATCATGGAGAAAGCAAATTCGGACACGTGTAATCGATAGTTAATTTTCTCTTTCATCGAATTGTTTTAAGTTTGTTTTCATTAACGTTTTTAGACTTACGGGCTTAGGCCAATTTAGGTTTAACCTTCGTCTCGTCCCATGGATTTCGTCGAAGATCACCGTCTGTGAAACCGCCGCGGTAGCTCCACTTTTTTCAATTCCTTAACTGATGTTAATTATGTCAATCAATCCAACAATCCCACTACTTCCTCTTCAATTTATATTCACCGCTTTTTTTTTTTTTTTTTGGTCAAACCTTACTTTCATATTATAAACTAAAAGAAGTCATTACCCGGATGGTAAGCTTGAGAGTTTACAGAGAGCTGATTTCGCTAAGCGGTCAGCCTCAACATTACAGGAGCGAGGAAAATAGGAAAAAGAGATAGATTCAAAGGCAGAACTCAACACTTTGATGTCGTGGAGGATACCCTGAAGAGCCACGGAGGAAGATTTGTCCGTGAGCAGAGAAATGAGATCATTGGAGTCTGAGAAACAGTCCAGATCTTTAATATCGGCAGAAACTGCATCAGTGATAGCAGCCTTCATTGCTAAAGCCTCAGCCATAAGAGATGATGCCACAAATTTCCGATACGCTTCGCCTTGTTTGATGAGCCGTCCAGAGGAATCAGTAATGATCCAGCCCTGACCACTATCACACGTACTCGCCATCCAGGCCGCATCAGTCTGGCATTTGGAGGCAGTAGTACGATGAACAGGTGGTGGTGGTTGCTGCGCCGATTTCTTTGTCCCGTCTGTCCTATCTTGAGCATTGGCCCAAGATTTAGCCTCACGAGAAGCCATAAGAATGACCTCAGCTTCGGTCAGGTGTTTATCTTCAAACAGCAACTTGTTCCTGCTAGTCCACAAAATCCACAGCAGCCAAGGATACATGGGAACAGAGATACCTGTGGGCGGGAGATTGACAGCGAGTCGACAGCATTGAAGCAGTTGTTGGATGGAAGTTGTGAGGTGAGCCTCTGGTTTTTTAGCCATCGGGAAGAGATCCCACACGCGAGAGGCAAATGGACATGAGAGAAGAACATGAAGCTCGTCCTCTACTGCTCCGCATCTCTTACATAGGATGTTAGCCCCAATACCTCTTATGGACAGGTTTGAGCCAACAGGGAGTGCACCATTTGCTAGTTTCCAAAGGAAGTGTCTCACCTTAGGTAAGCATTTGACATTCCAGATGTCGTGTTTCCACTTAACAGGTGTCAAGGAGGGAGGTGGAGTAACGTTAATCTTCGCGATGGCATATCCCGATTTTGTAGAATAAATACAGGATTTATTTGGGAGCCATGCCAAGGAGTCCTCCATACCTAAAGAGCTTGGGACAATAAGTCTAACAACCTCCTCATAATGTGGCAGGTGTTGACGAACAGCGCAAAGGTTCCATTCTCCCGAGTCCTCACGAATGAGATCGGAGAGTAGGAGGTCTTTTATTCTGCGAGGTCGGGGGACCGATTGGTCTAGCCGGTGAACTCGTGGAAAGCCAGCAGTCCTGCCATACCGAGATACTTCTCCCATTGCCTACAGACCAGCCCAGCCCTTGTTGTAGAATAGCTCTGCCAGCCAAAACGCTGCGCCATCCGTGGGAAGCATTGTTTGGGGGGCTGCAATCTAAAAAGGGCAAATTCAGACAGTATTTGTTTAAAAGGGTCTGTCCCAGGAGGGACTCAGGCTGCTGGAGAATGCGCCAAGCATTTTTCGCTAAGAGAGCATCATTGAAAAGCTCTATGTCTCTAAACCCAAGCCCTCCCACTGACTTAGGAAGTGTAAGCTTGTCCCAAGAGACCCAACACAAATTTTTTATCTCCGGACTCACATCCCACCAGAAGCGAGTAAGAACGGATTGGATTTGCTTGCAAAGTGATTGGGGTAACTTAAAGCAGGACATAGCATAGGTAGGCATAGCAGCTAGGACCGATTTCAAGAGAACCATTTTACCCGCTCCCGAGAGGTACTTAGCTGACCAGCCATGCGCCCGATGCCTAATACGATTTACCAGAGCTGCAAAAATGTCTCTTTTCTTTCTCCCAAAAAATTCGGGAAGACCGAGGTATTTCCCAATTCCCCCTTCTGAAGATATGTGGAGTGACGCTTTAGCTCTAGCCTTTACCTCCACACTAGTCTTAGAGGAGAAGGTGATAGCAGATTTGTTGCAGTTAATACTCTGGCCCGAGGCACGCTCATATCGCAGCAGTATGGAGGAGAGGGTGGAGCAACTCATATGGTTTAATTTGCTGAAGAACATAGTATCATCCGCAAAAAGCAAGTGATTGATCGGGGGGCAATTCCGACCCACCTTTACTCCTGGAAGGGTTCCATCTCGCTGAGCCTGTTGACACAGTCCCGATAACACCTCGGTACAGAGGATGAACAAGTAAGGAGACAGCGGATCTCCTTGCCGTAGTCCTCGTGAAGGTAATACCGAGCCTTGTGGTGCCCCGTTTATTAAGAAGGACTACGAGACAGACGATACACACTCCATGATCCACATAATCCATGTCTCGTGAAAACCAAATCTTTCAAGCACCTCCCTTAAGAAATCCCACTCAATCCGGTCGTATGCCTTGCTCATATCAGTTTTCACCGCCATTGAACACCGTTTCCTAGCTTTAGACGTGCGGAGGAAATGAAGGATCTCATGCGTTATCAGAACATTGTCGGCAATTGCCCTTCCCGGGACGAAAGCAGTCTGGTAGGGCGAGATAAGGAGGTTCAGGATCGGTTGTAGCCTCTTAGTAAGAATCTTGGCGATGATCTTATAGTGCGTGTTACAGAGGGCAATCGGCCTGTAATCAGAGACTTGCTTTGGACCCGAGCCTTTTGGGATGAGGCGCACATGGGTTTCATTTTGCCGTTGGTGAAGCATTCCCGATTCAAAGAAAGCTCTGATGTCACGAGAGATATCATCTCCTATGATGTCCCAGTATGATTGGTAGAAACCCGCTGAGAAGCCATCAGGCCCGGGCGCCTTGTCCGCATTAATAGAGAACACTGCAGCTTTAATCTCCTGAGGTTCAGGTATGGACACGAGGAAATCATTCATCTCTGCCGTGACCTTCGGTTTAATAGCCTCGTGGACTACTAATAGATCACCGGAGGAAGCTGAGGTGAAGAGATTCCTGTAGTACCCTGCAATTGTGTTAACAATCTCAGATTCCTTGTAAAACACTTGTCCCGCATCATTTTTGATGACTGAAAAGCGGTTTTGTGCGCGACGGCCTCTGGTAACCGCGTGGAAAAAACTGGAGTTGCGATCCCCGCTATTAAGCCACTGAATACGGCTCCTTTGTCTCCAGTATTGTTCTTCTTCTGAGTAAGCGGCCGTTAATAATTCTTTCAACTCAGCGATTAGCTGATCATCGGGAACGGGTGCAGAAAGAGCCTCCTCGAGGCGGTTTTGGGTAGATAAAATGGTCTGCTGGCTTTGCTTATTTTGCTCCTTTGTCCATTCTACTATCTTTGAGCGGACTCTACAGATTTTTGAAATGACCGACTCTGGTTTTGCAGCCTCCCAAGAGTGTTCCACCAAGGATCTAATTTCAGGTTTGTCTCTCAGCCTCCTATAAAACCTGAATAATCCTTTCTTTTTTATGAGGTTTTGATCAAAATATGTGATCACTGGCCGGTGATCGGAACCCTCAAAGCGGAGGTAAGCACAACGCCCTGCAGGGAAAAGCTCTGTCCAGGCGACATTACTCATTGCCCTGTCCAACCGGGACTGAATAAAGTGGTTGTAGCGGACTCCACGCCAAGAGAGGGAGTTACCCGAATGCTGGAGATCCCAAATACCATTTTGGGCAATGAAGCTGCGAAAGGAGAGGAAAGAGCCCTCCCAACGTGGTGGTCCGCCTAGCTTCTCAGAGTTGTCCAAAAGATCGTTAAAATCTCCAGTGATTAGCCAAGCATCAGCATCACGAAGAGCACCAAGTTCAGTGAGCTTTTGCCAGAAATCAGCACGTCCTTCTCTATTTGGGGAGCCATAGACATAAGAGACGAAGAACGTATTATTATTGACAATTACACAAGTGTCAATGATATTAGCAGAGGAGAACAAGATATCCAAGTGAACATTATCTTTCCATGAAAGAGCGAGGCCGCCACTAAGACCCTCCGGAGGGACGGTGTAGTGGTTACAATAATCAGAGTTGCGGTACAGCTTGAAGATAGCTTCATCTTGGTTCTTGGTTTCCATTAGAAACAAAATGTCTGGGGAGATCTTTGATTTGATGTCCCGGAGACGACGAACTGTCAGTTTGCTTCCAATACCCTGACAGTTCCAGCTCATACTTGCTAAGGAAGAGAGCTTTGAGCGGGCCGAAAATCCGGTCCCCTCTTCGAACTGGAAGGAAATACCTTGGTCTTAGGTTGAGATCCAACCGTAGAACTGGTTACATGGGCACCTCCTGCTATTGCATCCGCCATTAGTTTATTCTTAGGAGAGCTCTGGACTTTAGCAATACGTCGCTTCTTTGAGTTTGTACCCTGGAGTGGACTCTTTACCACTCTTTTCTTTGTTGCAGGTTTAGTTACTTTCTTCTTCCCCAAGACTTTTGTAGCTGTTATCGCTCGCTTTCCTTTAGATAAAGCTAGAGGTACATCCTCCTGGGAATCAGAGTTTTGACAAGGTCCCAGACGGAGAGTAACATGACGCCTATCTTCGCTTAAAGTCCGAATCGGAGAAGTCGCTGTTGCTTCAATTTGAGCAGGAGAGATAGTATTAGGGAGCCTTGAGGTTGAAGGCCTAGAGTTGCTGCCAAACAAGATCGGAGAAATTGTTTCATCAATATACTGGATATCTACTTCCTGAAGTCTTCCAGATTCCGAGTTTGCAACGCCATTAAACAGCAGAGGGGTTCTTCCCGCTAGTCCTGATAAGCGTGCCAAGGCAGATCTACGTTCGCCAGAACGAGTGCCAGATCCCCCGCCTGAAAGGGATCTCGGAGCCGGAGAAACCATAGCCTCCCTTTGGGGCGTTGGGGACGGGGTGTGTGAGACTTGAGACTGGAGAGAAGCGGAAGGAAGCGCCTGGTCTGCAGTACCAGAGATTCTCCTCCAAACACTCTTTTGAGATCCCGAGTGGAGGCGAGAGGCAATAGAGCGATCCGAACAGCCAGGGCTGGTAGGGTTTGCTGGAGCTCTACTAGGGGGTCGTAGTGAGGCTCTACTCCCATCCTTGTCCTCAGAGGTTGGATAGCGAGTCCCCACTGCATCCCTTATCGGATTGGGGTTCCGATTATTCCTATCCCAGCTTGCCTCCTCAGAGTGAGAGGGGGTTCTCCAAGGTCGGTCTCGAGTCTCTCTAGTGTCTCTCTCCCTAGGGGGGCGTCTCGACAGCCTCTTTTCATCTTGTCGACGTCTGTGATCATTCAGTCTCTCCATAGTTCTTGTTTGAGAGATACCCTGTTGGTTTGAACGACTTTGAGGTGGACCTCTAGCTCTTTGGTTAGGACAATCAGCTTGTTCATGAGAGAGGGAGAAGCAAACGAAGCAGTGCTTTTCCAGTTTATCATACTCAAACTCCACAAACTTTGTTTCTCCAGAGGACAAGCTGATCTCTCTGTTCATAACCAAAGGTTTGAGTCCATTGATGAGGACTCTAACTCTTCCACGAGGGACATCTTTATCCTCAATATGCCCAAGCTCCTCCCCAATGGCAGTTATGGTTCGTTCCGTCCAGAGGTGCAGAGGAATGCCATGGATAGATACCCAAAAGGGAATGAGAGCGGGAAAATGGTCTGAGACAATTGGTTCCCAACGTTGGAGTATGAACATCCACCTTTTGAAGTGGTAAGGTGCCTTTGAGAGAATAGCTTGAAGATCATGCTCAGACTTAAACTTGAATTGGAACAAATTAAGACCCAGATCCCGTCCCGTGAAGGGTTGCACAGTGTGCCAGTGTTGGAGGAAGAAGTCGACTAGAGCCCTTGGTTTCTGGACCGTCGAGTTGGTGACTCGCCCAATGAGGGTGTAGCGATGCTCCTCAATTAGTTCAGCAGTAGTTGAGCTCGGGATCTGGAGCGGGGGTCTTCGTGAGTGACCTCTGGAGCCAGAGATCCCTTTTCCTTTATCCTCTCTAGAGTAGCGGTAGCTTGACATAGTAGACAGTAGATGCAGGGAGAAGAAAACCTCAGTGTCGAGGGAGTGAAGAGAGCGGCGCCTAGGAAGCCAAAGACCTCAGTGTCGAGGTAAAGAGATGACAGGAGACTATTCCGGAGATAACCCCAGCGTCAGGGTAGTAAGAGGACTTCAAGACCTAGCTCTTCCGGAGGGCAGCTCGGTGTACGACCTCCATGTATGAAGATTGGGCTAGATCTGGAGCGGAAAAGGACCAGCGGAGAAGGAACGACCACTCAAGGAAGACAAGGAGGGGACGAGGAACCCGGATCTACAACGACGAGGGAAGAAGAGTCGGAACAGAGCTCAAACAAGGTGTCCGTACAATGTGTCCGTACAATCGCCTGTTATGTCACTCTTTTCCTGCCTAGGAACTCATATTCACCGCTTCTACACCACTTATCATTCTGTATCTATAGGTCACAGTGAACCTCCTCCACATATATTTTCCGTCAAGCTCCCTGGGAATACAACGATGCTGATTCCATCCGGTCGCACTTTTGTTGAGACAGTCCGATGTTTCCCCAGCATCTATGGACAATAAATCTCACTCGAAAGTCCGTCGAGCTCCTCTTAGACGACGATGGATATTCGCAAACAAATCCCTGAGTTCAATCGAAACCTCTGCATGCGATATCTGATTTCTAAAATCGGAAACAGGAGACAACAATTCCGGAGAAAGACGCTCTGCCTCACAATCCAGTGGTAGATTGATTTCCACTAATCTCAATGCAAGTTCTTTCTTATAGTTGAGATCAGATGTTTAACAAGTTTTAGTCTTGGTTTGTGTTTTTTTTTCAAACTCAATGGAGATGATGAGCTGATAGCGCCAAGTGGACACAAAAAGCGAATGAGAACTGTTGATTTTCCTCTATCAAACCGTGAACTATTTGCTACAAGGTGAACCATTAGAGAAGCTTAATGAGGTATGTTCTCTGTTTTTGATTCTCTTCCGTGAGGAAGAAGATTGAATAGTGGTTTGGTTATTTTCTCTTTCAATGCTTATTTTGGTTTGGTCTCTGAATTGTTCTTCCTCAGACTCTTGACATGCTAGATAAAAAGGAAAGTGTTCTTCTCAAGAAAGTTGTTGAAGAGGTTGAAAGAGCAAAGGAATTCACCCATGCCAAGAATAAACCAGGTAAAGACTCTAAAATCTCCCTTTTGATTATTATTATTATTATTATTAATAACAAGTCATAAATGGCTTTTGTTTGATTTCATTAGTTGTGTCCAACATCTTACAAGATAAGAATAACATTTTAAGTATATTTAAAGATGCAAAATAAATCTAAGTTTCAGAAATCGCTAAATTTACTTCATCTCTCCTCCCATAGTAGGAGGTAAACCATATCACAGAAACACAAACATGTAAACTATTTTATAAATCTCCACCACCATATGTTTACAATTCACCACTTCCTCCACCTTACGACACCATTCCCTTGAAATTATTAATGAATCTTCGCCAGCACCACATATTTACAAATCACCGTACTACTCTCTTAAATTGTTTCATCAACAAGTAACATGCTTGTGATTATTTTCTGATGATTTTTTCTTCTAGTTCTTCTGTATTCTTAATTTGACTAACTTGCTAAGTTTTAATCGAACCAATATATTCTAGCTATTTTATTAAAATGCTCCTAATATCTGATTGCTCCAACTCACTCGAAATTTTGAAGAAAATATAGTGAAACATCCAATAACGTGTCTAAATTTCGACTTACTTTGGCAAATTTAGTTTTTTTCGTATATTAGCTGCATACTAGAGAATCGTTAAAATTAAAAGTCATGTATTTTAATTTTACGTTGGAATAAAAAATAATTTACCGTCTATATATGCTTAATAAATTTGGCATATATGTTCAATATATATTTATTAAAAGAAAAGGAAAATCAGTTTATATAAAAAAGGAAAAACTCTTGATTTCCCTGAAACACCCTCGGTATTACGAAGACGGTCAAGGACTGAAGGGTAGCTCATACTCTATATATAGGTATACAACTCTCTCTTATCAGTTTCCTAATTCCAAAACTCAAGTCGGTCGCCTCTCACAGATCAAAAAGCTCTCTGAGCTAAGCGAGACCAATCTCCTTGTGTAAGCACCAATCTCTCCGCTTCTCAAATCTTTGTAATAAAAAAGCTTCATCGTTTCCCATCTTTCGGTTTCTATCAAACCCTAGATTTCGCGTCGGAACCGAAACATTGAATTTGATCGTAGAGAATGAGTGATCAAGATTTGGAAGGGAGTAGTGAACCAGTGGACCTTATCAATCATCCTTCAGGGATCGTTCCCACCCTTCAAAACATCGTGTCTACGCTTAACTTGGAGTGCAAGCTTGACCTAAAATTAATAGCTTTACAGGCACGGAACGCTGAATACAACCCTAAACGTTTTGCTGCTGTGATCATGAGAATAAGGGAACCAAAGACCACAGCTTTGATCTTCGCCTCGGGAAGAATGGTCTGTACTGGAGCCAAGACCGAAGACTCCTCCAAGCTGGCTGCTCGGAAGTACGCTCGGATAATTCAGAAACTTGGATTCCAAGCAAAGTTCAAAGACTTCAAGATTCAGAACATTGTAGCTTCTTGTGATGTGAAGTTTCCTATAAGGCTTGAAGGTCTTGCCTGCTATCACCACGCTTTCGCATGTTACGAGCCAGAGATATTTCCAGGACTCATTTATAGGATCAGAGCGAACAAAGAGACGAAAGGAGCAAAGGTTGTGATGCTAATCTTTGTGTCTGGGAAGATTGTTATCACTGGAGCCAAGAAGAGAGAAGAGACCTATAAAGCCTTTGAGAATATATACCCTGTCCTCACGCAATTCCAGAAGAAGTTCACCAGATAGACCAAGCAAGGATCTTGGAGTTGTGTTTGGTCTTTTAGCCCCTTGGGTTGCTAAGATTGCTAAGATTTTTGTTTCCTTTAAGCGGTGATTTTGATGTTTGGAATATGAGAAAGATCATATGGTTGAACTATATTCACATTACAAAAAGAAAAGTTATGTCTTTTCAAAGTCTTGTAATCCATATAGGACGTCGTAGAAATATAGTATGCTTTTATATTCCAATTTATCAAATTGTATGCATCTATAGCAATGTGGATTCATGTTCTAACACATGCATAATATGAGAAAACTCTGCTTTTTACGTATGTAACGTTTGATATGAACAGTCTTTAATAGAATGACATGAGTTTAGAGATTTTTTCACGATACTTAGTCTTTTTGTATCCCAAGCTTACAAAGGTCTTTTAGTATTATTTATCATCCTCAGTTAGTCACCTTTTGAAATAAGATAAAGCAGCTGGTTGTAGTACTATAATTAATTTTTCTAAAAGGATAATTACTATTTTTTACGTAACAGATGTCACAATCTTAAAAACATTAACGCCATGTGTCACAATCGTGTTAATTAGTAACTTTGAGCAACCAAACTTTATATAATAAGATGAGACTATTCTCTGTGTAGAAAAAAATCCAAGAATGTGTATGTACTCTTGCAGCGGCTATGCAATGCTTGAAAAGGAAGAGGGTATATGAGTAAATTGAACAGCTTGAAAATTACCAGCTCCATATTCATGATCAAGTAACCCTTCTGTTTCTAAACGTATGAAATTTGTTACTACTATAAGATATATTTTGAATTATTGTGGTAAATAGATGATTATGATAGGTGTTAAAGCAACAACAGAAACTGTAGATGGTAGACTATCCCCCTATGATTTGAGAATCACTTTCGATGTTAAGAAAATGGAACCATGGGCTTCGAGGGTATGTGGGCCTCTGATAGTGATTGATTAAGTTAACACTCAAGACATCTATATCTATACTATTATTTGCGAAGTGATTTTTCGCAACGGAGCTCTCACGTTAAAAGTTGGAGTGGTTAATATCGTTTATACCCTTAAAGAATAATATATATAAATCAGCCAAAAATAAAAACGAATTTAATATTTATTTGATTATATAAATGATTTAAACTGAAAATAATAATAAGAATTATCCATACTCTAAATATATATTTAAAAATAAAAAGATAATTCCTATATATATTGTGTTGTTATCCGGAAAATATACTTTTAACAAAAAAAACTCAAAATCAGAAAACACATAAATAAATATTCATAAAATAAAAAATTTCATTGTATATAATTCAAAAGAGAAAATTGAAAAATTATAAAATGTAATTATTTTAAAAAGAAAATATAATTCCTATATATATTGTGTTATTATCTGGAATTTTTTATAAAAAAAACAAAAACAGAAAACACATAAATAAATATTTATAAAATAAAATCTTCAATTGCATATAATTCAAAAGAGAAAATTGAAAAAATATAATACGTAATTTTTTATTAAAAGAATATAATAATATAATATAATGATAGATATTTGTGAAGTTATTTTTCGCCTCTGAACTCACACGTTAAATTAAATTTATATTTTTATTTTATATAGTTAAACCTTAAACATGAATTAATCATATAAAATAAAAATTCATTCAAAAAGAAAGAAAATACGTGTTTGATAAAAATAAATTCAAATATATTGTATAGTTATCCAAACTAATATTATTTTTTCTGTAAGATCGACTTTTTTGGAGGCAAATAATCATTTATTTTGATATTTTTTTAAATTGATTTAANTATTTTATATAGTTAAACCTTAAACATGAATTAATCATATAAAATAAAAATTCATTCAAAAAGAAAGAAAATACGTGTTTGATAAAAATAAATTCAAATATATTGTATAGTTATCCAAACTAATATTATTTTTTCTGTAAGATCGACTTTTTTGGAGGCAAATAATCATTTATTTTGATATTTTTTTAAATTGATTTAAAGATAATTAAGCCCGCATGTGCGGGCAAAACACCTAGTTACTATTATTCCCATTAGATTGGAAGTCGATCAATTGTCTTCATCCTGACGTTTTTAGACAATAGAAGTCGATCCAAACCTAAAGAGAAACCAGAGAACATACCTCTCAATTGTCAAACCAAAATAAGTTATTATTTACATGGGATCTAGAAAGCAAAATACTACATATATTGGCTTCAGAAAATTTACAGTCAGAACACTTTTTTTCTTCCAAAACTACAACCAAGATTCAGCGGAAAAAAATGTATAGCTTAGAAAAAAACTACTAACATTATTCTTACAGCAAAATATATAAAGTTGAAATTCATTCCTATCAATCCTGGTATGTTGTTGTTGTTGTTTAAACAGTTATAATCCGTTGGTTGGCACGAAAGTATGTAGACTTTGATGATGTTACCAACTCAAATAACAAAACCTAAAACTGTAAATAAGACATGGTGATATATTGGCAACTATATACAAACCCTTTTTACCCAAAAAATATATATACAAGCCACATCAAATATAAATACCAGGATACAATAACATTATTTGATTATTTGTTAAATCAGCCAAGATAAAATTATTGGTTATAAAATTGCTTATTAATATACCGATACAATGTATTATTATTTGAAATATATTTTTGAATAAAAAGAGATATACACTTATACATTTAAGATTAACTAATATAAATTTGAAGTTGAAAAAGAAGAATTGAAAAATATTAAAAGCTTCGAATTTGAAAACATATAAAGAGCTCATGGAAAATATTTGACTGAACCTGTTGAAAACTAACTCAACATTTGAGTCAAATAGCTTTAAGATGACACCTTTTGTGTATTATTCGATGGTTTTTATCACAGAAGAGATAACTATTTAGTATGTATCACAATATCACAAAGAAAAAAGGCCAAGGATGAAACATTCAGACTTGGAAATATAGAATATACAGTACCTACACAATACCAATATATTTACATATGCGTGTTATGTAGTACTCAAATTATCTTCATCTACACTTAAATCATATGGTAAAATTGGTAGATTATGAATGATATATCAAAAGCTATGAGGTGTATTTGCACATATCTACAGCCACAAAAGTCAAGAGTTGATATTTAAATGAATTTCACATTTTATTTTATGGTTTTAAGTAGAAAAAACAAACAATATATAAATGTACAACAGTTTCTCTGAAATGTATACCTTGTTTTTTCACACGAGAGTTTGCTCTACAAACAACCAAGAACGTTAGATTCTTTTGAAACTAACAGTGAAATCAATTATAGTATATGTATATTTATCAGTATTTCAAGTTTTCAACAAAAAAATATAAAAATATGTTGAAAAGCATAATAGAAATATAACAAGCATCATTTCAACAAAAACATCATTGTTACCCAAAATAGATAATATATAGAAATATATAGTTGTAATTTTATGAATTTGAAATATATGTATAATTGTATTTTTTTGTATTATAATTGTAAGTGTTACCTCTAATAAGAATACACTACAAGAAAATAGAGTATTAATTACGTCGAGAAAACGCTATCTAACGCTACCATAGCGGTATTAGGTACGCTGTATCATCGACCACAATAATATGTCTATCACTTTAGATAGCACTTTTTGTTTTTGTTACAGTATATTTTAATTAGATAGCGATTTCCGTTTTGTTATATATATTTTTTAACATAGCATTTGATTTCCGATATTGATTTCAGTTTTATTTTTGTTATTTTTACATTTAAATTATTTATTTTTTAGTTAACTATATAAAGTATCAACATAATTTTTAAAAAATTAAAATGATTTATAATTGAACTGGTTTACAAAAATATGATTTACAAATTAAAAATAGATCTAATTAGTCTAGAAAGATATTGGGACAATTGCAAAAATACCATTTTTGTGATACCACAATTCAACTTTACCATCATTGAAAGGACATTTTCATAAATACACAATTCATTAATGACAAAAGACAATACTACCCTTCCCTATCTTCTCTTGTCTCTCTCGACGAAAGATCAGAGAGGTTTCTTCGCATCTCCTCGTCTCCATCGTCACATCTGTGCTTCTTCGTCACACCTTGCTCGCTCTCTATCTCATCTCCGGTGGCAAGGTGGAGCAGCATCGAAGGCGAACGGGTGGCGTTAACCCTCCTCACGATCTTGTTGGTAAATTACTTAGATAACCCTAGTTAACCTAATGTCTTCTCTCCCGTAAGATTGATTTTCTGACGGCAACTCTCCAAACGCATCCGGTGATGACGCGACGGCGACGCAACTAATAAAACATGTGCAAATGCATAGCATAGAGTGTGTAAAACGGAGTTCGACGCCAATCTAATAAACCGTCGTGCAAATCTCCGATGAACGGATTTGCTTCACAGATCTCATCAATGGCGCTTCTCGGATCCGGCTTCACCAACGAGGTATTATTTTCGATCCGGTTTGGCTTCTTCTTCTATTGAAGTTGGGTTGGAGAAGGTTAGCTTGACCGTGGATGATGAGGCGAAGGGGGAAACTAGTTCTGCTGAGGCTGAGAGTGAATCCTCAAGCTCTTCTTCGAGCTCTAGCGCTAGTAGTAGCAGTGATGAAGAAGAAGAAGAGAGTGAAGAGGAAGAAAGTAATAAGGAAAAGAATTTTGAGGACCAGATGGTCATGGGTAAAGAGAATGATGTGGCAGAAGAACTTGAAGAGGGCGAGATATAGAGTGTAGATGAGGTTGAAGAAAATGATGATGAAGTGGATGAAATGGCTGCTTGGAACTATGATGAGGATGAGGACCTCGCTTGGCAAACAAAAGAACCTATAAGGACAAATAATGAGCTCAAGGAACCTATCCTCTCAGCATCTCACATTCATAATCACTGTTTCTTTTTTTTGTCGTTGACTTCTTTTTATTGTCTCTAAGCCTTACATAACTCTTACTAACTCCAATGCTTAATCTTTTGTTTACTTAAAAGAAGTACGATCATCCACTATCGTGTAGACTGTTAGAGTACTGTTTCAAATTTGCAACAAGTAAACTATGTATGCATAGAAGGCTTGTTTGTGTTTGAGTTAACTATTATAAACTTTTGCAGGAGCTTCCTCCAGTTCCACCTGTGGATGTCACTCTGGAACCACATCATGTCACGCTTCCTCTTCAGACCTTATTCCAAAATTGTTCTTATGTTTGTTCTGATGCTTGCTCTTCTCTTTGGTCTCAGATATGACAAGTTCAAGAAGAGGGTAGTGTCAAGTGGGTACTTTCTTTGGTTGACTATTGGCTATGGAGTTGGTAAGTTTCACTCTGCAGACGTAGCTAAAATTTTTCACAATCTTAAAACTTCACTGAAACATAGTATGGTCATGTTCTGTTTGTGTAGGTCTGTTACTGACATATCTAGGCCTGTATCTAATGGACATACATGGCCAGCCTGCGCTACTCTTCATAGTTCCCTGCACTCTAGGTAAAACGAGAAGCTTGAGTTTCTCTTCTTCCATCTCTTCGTGTACATTATTATTTTTCATCTTCCTATACTAAATGCTTTGTCTCTTACACCTTTTGTATTCTCCGTTTGATCTTGACCATCTTTTGTTTGATTAATAACTGAAGTAATAACTTTGATGTGTTTTTTATTGCTAGCTCTTATTGCGTTGTAACATTAGAAAACAGTTTTCAAAAACTCTTCCCTGCATTGGTTTAAATAATTTAGTGCATTATAAATCAAATTATAAAGCTTTATAAATCATTTTATAATACAGATCAAAAGTCAGTTTATTGTACTTCAGTTTATAAATATTTATAAATCCATTTATAAACCACTCTAAATCAATTTATAAACTCTTATAAATCAATTTATAAACTCTTATAAATCAATTTATAAATTTTAATAAATAAATTTATAAACCCTTATAAATTAATTAATAAAATCTTATAGATGTGCAAAAACTTGATATTTCATTTGTAAGAATTTAAAAGGGCTTGTATAATTTATCAACTCTTATAAAAATGTTTCCATTAAATAAGAGTTTCTTATTATTTATAAGTGTTGTATAATTGGTTTATATAGGTTTATAAATTGGTTTAAAAGAAAATTATACTTTATTGAAATAACAAACAGATTTACTGAAATAGTTTATAAAGATTTGTAAGTTGTTTGAAGAATTAATAAATTGGTTTATAAGAATCTATAAAATTATTTTATAAGGATTTGTTTTTTCTTTACTCTTGTCTCTTGATGTTCTGAACTGGTGTATAAAAAATGTGTTCTTGAAGATGTCATAGAATTTGAGCTCTGATGTGCATCTTACTTGGCTTTTCGACATAATGTGTTCTTTAATTAGTATTGTGACATAGCTAAGTTAACAAGACACTGCAGACTGATTGTGAAAGTGAATTCTTTGTGAATGGTTGTAGCTCTAACCTCACTGTTTATCTTTACTTGTGATATCCTGGATTTCGTGCTTATAAATTTTGGTCTAGAAAATTAACAGTCTGAACTTTGTTGTCTATCTAACGTTCTTGATTTGAGGTATAATTGGTTTTCTGTGTATCTGCAACATGGTTAATAATAGTAACTGCTACTGTCATTCTTGTACCATCTTTTCATAGTGAATGTACTTGACACTGCAGACTGATTGGGAAGGTGGATTCTTTCCCTTAACGATGCACTTCAGCGAGGACTATCCAAGCAAGCCTCCCAAATGCAAATTCCCACCAGGCTTTTTCCACCCTAATGTCTATCCATCAGGGACAGTCTGTCTTTCCATCCTTAACTAAGATTCAGTAAGTACTCTTTTCTTTTCATTTCTCCATGACCAAATCATCATCCTAAGTTCTCTGTTGATATGGTTATGTGGATAAGGATGGAGACCAGCCATCACAGTGAAGCAGATTCTTGTCGGTATTCAAGATTTACTTGATACACCTAATCCCGGTGACCCTGCACACACTGATGGTTATCATCTCTTCATTCAGGTACACTCTCTCATTATGACATATAGTTAGTGAAACATAGAAACCAATTTGATTGCGAACTTTATTATGATGGGATTCAATTTGGATGAATAATATGCAGGATGTAGTTGAGTACAAGAAAAGGGTTAAGCTGCAGTCCAAGCAGTATCCTCCAATTGTCTAGAAACCTTCGAAGGGAAACACCAAATCTGATGACAAACTTTAAAATCTTTTGTGGTCTTTGTGTCGTTGTGATTGTGTTTTTCTTCTTCTTGTTTCCATGTAAATCTTGAAATTAGCAATTCATATATATAAAGTTTTGTCCTTTTGACAGAACTTCCACTTGTTATATGTATACATGTGCCGTTCCTTGATGTTTCTGTTCTTTTGACATAAGCAAATGGTGTTTGTATGTAATAGGAGGCAAAGGTGGGAACTCAAGTGTGTTGGTGGTAGCTATTGTTGTGCCTATTATAGTCGCTGTTCTGCTTTTCATAGCTGGTTATTGTTTCCTTGCAAAGAGGGCAAAGAAGACTTAGCACACAACATCTGCATTTGATGGTAAATATTTCTAAGTGATCAACAGTCCTTTTTGGGTTTGATTTTTTATTAGTTTCAATCACTAGCTATTAAAATTTGCATTGTTGACAGGAGATGATATAACAACAGCAGGGTCGCTGCAGCTTGATTACCTGTGCCTAGACAACCAGGTCTTTACTTTCCAAGTAGACCGGAAAAAGAAAAAGATCCGCTTGATTCAGCCCAATATACAACAACCAAATCTCTCGTAGGGTCTATTGATGATGCCTTGATCACAGATGTGTATCCTCGTTGAAGACGAACGTGTACAGTCATGCCTGGTCTCTAAATCAATTAGTTTTGAAAATAAGATGTATTGTAACTGTTTGTATTGTTATTATAGCCTCAAGCATATATGAGTTGTCTAATATGCGATAATGATGAGGATGATGGAAACTCTTGTTTAATCAATTCTGCATGGTCAAGGTAGATGTCAGAAAAACCTGAATCATGATTTAGTTGTTACTTCCCATTGTAAGCCCTGTCAAGAAGGAGATAATAGTTTGTATGATAATTTATAACGGTTTATAAAGGTATGTAGGTAATTTGTAAATGTTTATAAAAACAATTTATAAAGATTATGTACCTTTATAAAGTTTTATAAAACATTTTATAAAGATATGTAAAATTATTTGTAAGTCTATATCATTTATAAAGGCTTATAAAACAAGTTATTAAATCTATAAACCATTTATAAATGTTTATAAGAAAATTATCAAAAGTTTATAAATAATGTTTTTTTTTCTTTTATGCAGAGCCGGTCTCTTGAAGGATGTCAGAACAAGGAAAATCTTATAATGACACCTAATAATGGTTTATATGATAATTTATAAGGGTTTATAAGGATATGTAGATAATTTATAAATGTTTATAAAAACAATTTATAAAGATTATACAACTTTATAAAGGTTTATAAAACAATTTGTAAAGATATGTAAAACTATTTGTAAGTCCATACCATTTATAAAGGCTTTTAAAACAAGTTATTAAATTATTTGGATTATTTGTGTTTGCAAGAACGAAACATCTATAGTGATTAATAAACTATTTACGTGTGTTTATATGAGTTTATAAAACCTTGTATGAACCGTTTAAGAAGTTGATAAAAGACATAAATATTTATAAACTATTTATAAAGGTTTATAAAATTATTTATAAGGGTTTATAAAACCATGTACAAGAACTTATCACCCATTTATAAGAGTTTATAAATCTATTTAGAAGGTTTATAAATCTATTTATAAGGATTTATACAAAATACAATATTAAAAGAGTTTAATAATCTTCATAAAATAATTTATAAGAGTTTTCATTTAGAAGAGTTTATAAATCATTTATAAATAGAATTAATCAATGCACTTCTAATGTTCTTCGACTCGTATACGGTCCAAACACATCCTATTCACACACTGTTTTAGAGTATCAAAAAGTATGCTCTTCTTAGAATATCAGAAAATTAATAGAATCTTATATAATGTTGACAAGTTTTATGAAATAGATATAAGATGGTGATTAGGTCGTGGCCGTGGTGAATTAGGGGTTTAGAGAGGAATTGGCCGTTGATACTCTGGTTTGATGGTTATGCTCTGAGATCCCAGGTTTGTCATCCATGACGTGCCAAAAGAACCTAATTATCATATTGGACGTTGTTTCTCAGCTTTGTATGCTTGAACTTATCTTTCATCTCTGTTTGTTTTATTGGTTTATTAGTCTTCTACATTGTATCGAATAGGTCTAGGTTCTATAAGTCTGCACCTGTTGTTCATATTTTACAAGGATGAAAATTGAAGTAGTCATATGTTAGTTCACAAGATTACTTTCCCTTCAAACTCTTTTAACTTTTGATTATTTCGAAAAGACCAACCTTCTCAATAATATTAAAACCAGGAAACAGATGGAAATAATCACTTTGGTTTCCTTTCTACATGACTTGATGTGCGGTGACAGGACAGGATGTCGAGTAGGGGAAGTTGCAAGCCCTGAATCTTGTTGGACCAGAGTTTAGAATCTAGGAGTTGTCTCAGCACGAGGAATAACACAGGCTGCTAATATATCCCACATGGCGAGAAATGGGCTCCCATGCATTTCACTGCAAAGATAAACACACAAATGTATCTACATCAACAAAAGTGACATATTATTTAGCATCATTATAAGAGATACAAGGTTTATAAATCTGTTTACAAGGATTTATACAAGGATTAAAAGAGTTTAATAATCTTCATAACACTATTTATAAGAGCTTATAAATAGTCATTAGAAGATGTTTATATATCATTATAGAAGTCTCTATATCACTTATAAAATTATATAAACTATTTATAAGGGTTTATAAATCATTTATAAGGATTTATAAGTCATTTATAAGTATTTATAAATGGCTTATAAATACTTAATCATATTCTTTGCACCCATTGATTCATAATATAGATGTAGTGCACCCGTCAATTTTATGTCTAGATTTTCCAGTGCTTATAAAATGTGTTATGTATTATACAGAAAGTATAAGGGCTTATGAAGTATTATTATAAGTAATTACACATTTGTAATATATTTCTTATATGGCATTATTAACAGTTTTATAAGGATTTATAAAATGTTATAAAACTAATATAACAATCTATAAGGGTTTATAAAAACATAATTAATATTTATGAGAACAACTTATAACCCCTTATAAACTCAACTATTATATCTTATAATGGTTTATAAATTGTTATAAAAGTTTATAGAATAATGTATAAGAATTTATAACAGCATAACTAAAATTCTAGACCCCACCCTGTTACCCCCACCCCTCAAATCTAATGTTTACTACTACTTCCCATTAGATTAGTAAACCCTACGGTCATGAACTAAATTATGAAATTTTATAAACTAATTTATAAGAGATTATATTTTGATTGACAAGAGTGTATAAATTGATTTATAATTTATAATACTTTATAAATTAATTTATAATACTTTATAAAACATATACTAGAGTTTATAACTTAATTAAAAAATTATAAGGCTTTGTAAATCATTTGAATCTAACTCTAACAGAGCTTGTAAAACTCAGTTCGTGTTAGTTTCATAATCTGAAACAAAGAAACATTGTAAACAAAAATCCAAATAAACAAATGGTCCAGAGTTCATAAATTTTAAAACTCATTGGTCCTAGGAGGTGAGGATGGAGAAGGGTTGGTAGATGCATTAGTGGTTGGCACTCCTCTAGCTTCACACAAAGAAGTGAGCTGCGCTCATCATTTGTAAATTACTTGAATCTAGCTCCAACAGAATTTGGATTTGTAAAAGTTAGTTCTTGTTAGTTTTATAAACTGAAACAAAGAAACACTTTAAACAAAAACGCAAATAAACAAGAATAATTGGGTTTTTGATTTTAAGGATTTGTAAGTGATTTATAAACCGTTATAAAGTCATCTATAAAGATTTATATAGTCATTTATAAGGGTTTATAAATTAATTCATAAAGGTTTATAAAGTAATTTATAAGTATTTATATATTGATTAATAAGGGTTTATAAATTAACGTACAAGAAACTTTAAAATGATTTATCAGAGTTTATTAACTGCTTTTTGGGTATAAGGGTTTATAAGTTAAAAAATATTTAAAAACTTTTATAAACTTACGTAAAATAATTTCTAAAGGTTTACAAATATTTATAAGGTTAAATCACTTATACATATTTCTGAGTCACCATTTTAACGTTGCTTTAAGTAGTTTTTCTTCTTTCCCTATCTGATGCGAGAACTTCATCTTGTAGCTGCAGGCACACAACAAAAAGAGTGTCAAGTTCATTCTTCAAATGTGCTGAATGAATGATTTTTTTTCCACATATCATTTGATGTAATGTTAATCTCCAAAACCAAAACAGTAACTTGCTCACATATAGACAAGCCACTGAACAAAAAAAAAGTAAGAAACTTGGCAGTTGATGAAGTCTACCTTGAGACGCTGAGAAAGATCTTTAAAACCTTGCACAAGCTGATGCCACATATGCTCTCTTTCTGAAGAATTCATGCCTTCAAGTTTACTAATGGCCTCTGCCCACATTATCTATCCACCAAGAGGAATAAAAAAATAACGAGCTCATTAATACACACAAGAAAGCTACACATTTCAATGATATGATTCAAGAAGATTCTCACATCTGATACACTTGCAGGCTTTACACGATACTGTTGTCCAGTCACACTAAACAAAAGATGCTACAGGCAAAACGGAAACAACAGTTAATCTCCACACAACTAATAGAACTCATAATATTTCCACCCAAAGCTAACCTTAAATGCATACTCAGGGTTACTCGGATCCTCTTTATACACTTCAGTGATTGCCTAAATCAAAATCGAGATAATTAGGGTTAGGGATTCTAGATCTGGACTTGCAAGAAACCAAAAGATTTTAATTTCGGATATCACGATCAGCGAGAGGAAATGAATTGGAGCAACAAGAGCCATCTGAGTAGTCAATTGCGTATTCTGGAAGGGCGTTTGCTGCTGCACCGTGTTGAACGGTGACTGAAAACCGATACTAGAAGACGCATGTTGCTGATACGGCGACGTTTGCCGCAGCTGATGTTGGGATGAGAACAGAGTAGAGAAGAGCGAAGAACACGCCAGCATCGTCAAATCTAGCCAGAGAACTCGTCAACGCGGTTGACTCTCGTAGGATTTGATCGCCGTAGATAATTTGAGATAATGTTTGATCGGATGGATCTGAGATATGAAGAAGAAATCGTGGGAAAGAGAGAGTAGTTTGAGGTTTATGTAGTTAGGGGTATAATAGTATTTTGGCTATTAAATTTTTAATGGTAAAGTTGGTTAATGTAAATGTGAAATAGTGTACAAAGAAAGTGCTATTAGTTACAATTTCCCAAAGATATTAAACCAAATAAACCAAAAAACAAACCAAGCTTTAACCTAATCCTACTCACTAACTAAACCAAATTGCAAAATCACGCCGCCTTCAGCTTCTCCTCAAGTCCATCAACGACAAACTAACCCAAGTCATCAGTCGTTGTCTCGTGACCTCCATCGCCATCTCATCTCAAAATCAAGATGAAATTAAGTCTCCGCCACCGCAGCCCATGACCACCACTCTGCTTGCGACCACCAGCTTTTCTGTCACCTCCTCGCTGCAAGCCATGACAAATCTGCTCATGAACACCAGCTTCTCCAACTCCTCTGAGCCTTAAACCCAACGACCACCACATCTGCTAGCAACGATCCACTACTTTTGACAAGAACAAAAAGTCAGATTTAAAATAGAGAGAGAGAGAGAGAAAGAGAGAGAAAGAGAGAGAGAGAGAGAGAGTGAAAGAGAGAGAGAGAGAGAGAGAGTGAAAGAGAGAGAGAGAGAGAGAGAGAGAGAGAGAGAGAGAGAGAGAGAGAAAGAGAGAGAGAGAGAGAGAGGTGACCGATGGTGGTGAGAGAGGACAGTGGAGAATGGAAGAGATGACTGGCCTAAGCTCCACTTTCAGATCCGTGTGTGTGTGAGGAGAGATGAAGCGAATGATATAGAGAAAGGAGATGTATTTTTCATATGAATCGTATCTGTGTGTTTGTGTTTGTGTTTGAGACTGTGGAGAGATGAGAAGAATTAATCGTATCTGTGTGTGTGTGTGTGTGTGTTTGAGACGTGGAGAGATGATGAGAGATGTGGAGATAGATAGAATTAGGGAAATGAAAAGATAGATTCTTGGCCATTGGATTACAAGCAATCAATGGTCAAAAATATCAATCCAAATTTTGAAATATAGACCTATAAGAAAGAAGGGGGAAGATCACAAAAGAGTGATTATGAGCCTTTGGATGAAAACTAATCAAAGGTCTAAAATAAAACCAGTAAAAATTATCTTTTCATTTATCTATAATCATTTTTGTGCTGTTTATTAGTAAATTGTTTTTTTTTTGAAATTTATAATGTAAATTTGAAATATTGTATATAGTTTGAGATATATATTATATAAATTATTTTGTATTTAAAATGGAGATTTAATATTTTATGATATAGGTTATAGTATGTAGTGTAGGGTTTTTATGGTTAAAATTATAAATAGGTATATGTTTAAGATTAAGTGTTACAAATATTTAAGTTTATAATTTTAAATTTAAGATTTGGAGTTTATGTTTCAAAATATTATAAAATTTATTAGTGTATTAGAGTTTAAAGCTTGTGTTTATAGTGTAGAATTTTAAAACTTCATTAGGGTTTAGGAATTCAAAAGACAACAAAACATTTTTATTATGTTTTACTATTAATTATAAGTGTTATGAGTTTAGAGTGTTTGAGTAGAACGTTTTTTTAAAAATTGGAATTTAAAATAAAGGTTTGAGTATAGGGTTTGAGGGTTGATGGTTTGGTGTTTTGATATAAGATTTGAGATTAATTTTTGAAAATATTAATTTTGAGTTTTATATTTAAGATTTGATATTAAAATTTTAGAGTTTAAAGTTTTTATTTAGAGTTTAGGGGTTGTGTTTAAAGTTTAGGGTTTAGAGTTTAGAGTTTAGGGTTTAGGGTTTACGGTTTAGGGTTTAGGGTTTAGGATTTTTGGAGGTAAATAAAATGGAGTAAGAGGGAAAGTGAAACAAAAGTGAAAGTGAAAATAATTTATTTTCCCGCTTTAATTAGTATATAGCGTTTTAAAACTGAAAGTGCTATGATTACTACATTTCAAAAAAGCATTTGTAGAATTAAAATCGGACTAAGAAAGCATAGCATTTGTATTTTTGCAAACGCTATCTAAAAAGAAGGGATATGTCAACCATAGCAGAAAGACAAAAAACGCTATCCGCTAGTGCTACCAATACTCATATTTGTTGTAGTGATAACAAATCATATATATAGAAAATATAGATTACTTCAAATTAGAGTAAACTAATCATTTTGAAATACTCAATACAATTGATAATATATTATGTAAGTTTTTAATTACTAATCCGTCCGTAGCGCGGACGAAATCCTAGTGTTTTATAAAGTTAAATTCGGGGTGACGTGTTCCAGTCATATTAAAACACGTGTCGTAATATAATTTGTAATATCCATTACGAATTTCTCTACTTTAGAATATAAAGAGAAGGAGATACAATCAGATAAGATAAGGTAAACAAGAAGCATGTGAAGTCAGCTTGACCGAGGAGCGTCCCTTCTATTATATATTAGAAGGGATATTTGAATACTTGGTCGATATGGCTCGCACGTTTGATGCCAAGAGCATCTTGGCTAGATGCTCTTGCCCTTTACAGCTAGCACCAGCCATTCCACACGTTCAGCCTTATCCTCTAACGGTTACCACCAAGTAGACCTCAAACCCTCTACCCTTTGAGCATTTCCCACCATACTTCTTCTCGTCCCAATACCTTAGACCTCAAGTCACACACTTGTACGGCCATCCTTGTACGGACACCCTATCCGTACAACTCCTCACCTTTTATTTGCACAACTCTAAAATGTAACTAAAGAGTGATCTGAAGTGGTTTGGGTCGAGATGGTCCGTACGGTCTGTGCACATGTCCGTACGGTCTGTACACATGTCCGTACGGTCCGTACCATCGCCCTAAATGTGCACTATCTCCATTTCACTCATAATCTTCACAAAACCATCCTCTAAACCTTCTCTTCATTATTCTCACCTCATCTTAACACTCCTCCTCAAGCTTGACCCTGTGGAACAAATCAAGCATAGAATGCCATGAGATCTTCCTCATTAAAAATCTCACCAAAAAAAACCCATGGGATAAAACCTCGATGAAAGAAAAAGAGTAAGGACCACATGGCGAGGAGAGTTGTTAAGCTTCTTGGGGTCAGGTCAATGAGTCCCAACCTTATGGGAATGGACTCTATGACCTTCTGTCTTGCGGCCTTAGTAAAAATGCCAGCCAACCGATCTTCACTCTTTGTGTAACATGGTAGATCTCCCCAAGAACAATCATTTGCCTCACCTTATGGTAGTCAATTTTAATATGCTTCGTTCTCTCATGGAACACTGAGTTAAAGCAATATGAATTGCTCCTTGGTTGTCAAAATGCATGGTCATTGATGTGGCTTGATCAATCTCCAGATGTTTTAATATCCCTTTGATCCATATCAGCTCACTGGTAAGCTTCAACATGGCTCTATACTCGGCTTCTGCACTTGAACATGACACCACCTTCTGCTTCTTACTCTTCCATGTAACTAGGTTGCCTCCAATGAATGTGCAATATCATGTGGTCAATATTCTATCATCCCTATCACCAACCCAATCTGCATCACAACATCCTACTACCAAGGTGCTCTTATTACACCCCATCCATACTCCTAGACTCGGAGTCCCATTCAGGTACATAAGCAGCCGGTGCACCATTCCCCGATGATGTTATTTTGGCACTTGCATATGTTGACTCACCTGATTCATAGCAAAACATATATAAGACCGTGTAATAGTCAAGTATATTAACTTACCTGCAAGCTTTCTATAGAGCTTGGCATCCTTAAATGGTGGACTATCTTCCATTGGCATCTTTGCTGTCTTGCCTCCAAGCATACCTGCATCTTTCAAAAGATCCTTAATTGCTTGAATACCAAGTTTTTCACTCCCTGTTATGATGATATCATCAACATATACAAGGAGAACAAAAATACCTGAGGATGTGGTAAGAATGAAGAGGGTATGATCCATCTCTGACCTTCTGAACCCACAACCATTCAAGGTAGTACTCAGCTTGTTGTACCAGGCTCTTGGTGACTGCTTTAATTAACCCATATATAGCTTTCTTTAACCTCAACATATTTCAAGGTTTCACAAGCTTCTCAAGAGCTGGTGGAGGATACATGTATACCTCATCTTCTAGTTCTCCTTGCAAGAAGGCATTCTTCACATCCATTTTCCAGCCCAACTCGAGATTGGTTGCAACAGACAAGACAATCCGAATTGTATGGAGTTTGGAAACTGGAACATAAGTGTCTATTTAGTCTTCTCCATAGGTCTGGGTATAGCCTCTTGCAACAAGCTTGGTCTTCTTTCTTTCTATCTTCCCATTTGGTAGATACTTGATTGTAAAGACCCATCTAGTTGTCACTGCCCTCTTCCCTTTAGGAAGTTCACTTTCATACCATGTCTCGTTCTTTATCACGGCCTCAGCTTCATCACCAAACAAGCTCCTACATTCTTTATCTTGAATGTCTTCCTCATAAGACCTTAGTATACAACTCTCATCTAAACCAGTCACATAGGAGCAAACGGCTTGACTTAGATGAGTAACAGCTTGAGCATTGTAATACACCCTTGTGTTTACCCAATTAGAGGGAGGCTTTATCACCCTTATACTTCTTCTTAATGGGACCTCTACAGGTTCCTCATTTTCTTCATATTACCCTTTAGACTCCATAAACTTGACATCTTAAGATAGCATAACCCTTCTTGTCTTGGGGTCATAGCATTTGTATCCCTTCTAAGTTGTAGAGTAGCCAATAAACATGGCTTTTGTGCTCTTAGGCTCTAACTTGTTCCTCATTTTTCCTAGAACAAGCACAAAGCAAAAGGCACCCAAAGACCCAGAGATGGTTTAGAGATAGCTGGTTCTAGAGAAACAAGGAGCAGTCCATACATCAGAATGCACAAGATCAAAACATTTTTCATAGATGGTACTTGATTTTTGAAACATCACTCTTACTATGTTTTCCCAATATATATATGCTTCACATTCATTTTTAAACATAACACTTG